CACTGCAAAACCGTTTGAACTGCAAGGTCCACAGTTTAAGCTCACCAGCTACTCCTTGGAAACCCTATACAGGGTCGCTATGGGTCGGAATCGACTCGACGGCATTTAACAACAACAAGTGGAATCCTGTGCTCAAAAACAGTTTTTGAAATCACCAACTTAGTTATCGTCTTAAAGAGCCTTGTAACACTCTGGGTGAGGTGTTGGGCTAACTGCAAGGTTGGCAGTTCAAACCCATTAGCTGGCCAGTGGGAGGAAGATGAGGCTTTCTGCTCCCATAAAGAAAACCCTACATAGTCTCGGAAACTCTTTACAGGGTTGTTGTAAGTCAGAACTGACTCAATGGATGTGGCTTTGGTGATGCAGCAAAGACCTTAGTGGTACAGTGGATTAAGCGTTAGACTGCTAGCCACAAGGTTGGTGGTTCAAACTCACCACCTGCTATGAAGCAGTTCTACTCTATGTAGAGTCGTTATGAGGCAGAATTGGCTCAACAGCTCTAGGTTTAGTGATACAGCAGTTCAGCACTCAGCTGCTAAATAAAAGGTTGTAGGTTCAACCTCTGCCTTGTCTTATGCTTATGGAATATTAAATATACCGTGAACTGCCCAAGACCAACAAATCTGCCTTGAAAGTACAACCAGAATGTTCCGTACTAGGAGGATGGTGTGATTTTGTCTTGCTTACTTTAGACATATTTTCAGGATGGACCGGTCTCAGGAGAAGGGTATCATGCTTGGTAAAGTAGAGGGTCAGCAAAAAAAAAGGAAGACCCCAGTGAGTGACTACAACAACAGGGCTCAAACCTACCTCCTGTTACGGTGGTGTGAGACCAGGCAGGGTTTGGCTCTGTCATATGAAAGGTCACTACAATCAGAGCCAACTTTACGGCATGTAACAACAGCAACGTGTCAGCTTGGGGGGTTTCAAAGAAATTCAAAGCAAAAATAAAATACTCATCAGAATAAAGTTCATGTATTGAACAGATGTGTGCTTTTATGGCTCCCCATAGTCTGAGTGTGGTACTTACTTCAGACTCTGACCGAGACTGAGGGAATAGGTCCCCTTCATTCATTTGCAACAGGCAGACTTGGATTTTATAAGTGCTCTTGTCTTTCATTTCTTTTTAAAGAGGAAACAGTACACGACGATATGTGGACCACTGCTTAGCACCCTCAACCCTGAGCATTTAAATTCTCTCAAGAACGCCTCAGCATACGATTGAAAAGACTGGAAAGCGGAGTTTCCCTTTCCTTGCTCAGGGAACAGGAATAGCCTACCTTCCGGGGCAGAAGAGTGGAATAGTTAACAAAGATGAGTTCAGTGTAAGAGAAAGAATCCTCCGCGGGAGGAAGACTTGGAGCCAGTCTAGAGAAGTCTGTGTAGCCTGGATTTTCACCTGATAGAGATCTTCTCTCCCCTTGTGGCTACATTTGTCCACTCATTCATTCATTCATTGGTCAGTCAGTCACACAGTGACTCACAGACATGGATTGAGTCCTTAGTCTCATTCTTTGGACATGTTATCAGGAGAGACCAGTCCCTGGAGAAGGAAATCATGCTTGGTAAAGGATCAGCAAAAAAGACAAAGACCTTCAATGAGATGGATTGGCACCGTGGGTTTAACCACAGAGATGATTATGAGGACGGCGCAGGACTGGCAGCGTTCTGCTCTGTTGTGCACACGGTCCGCTGTGAGTCGGCACCAGTCTGATGGCACCTGACAACAAGGTGTCGTATCAAATGCAGATGTGGTCCAGTGGTAGAATTCTCACCTTCCATGTGGGAGACCTGGGTTTGATTCCCAGCCAGTGGCTGTCTGGGTATTGTTAGAACGCGGAACAGCTTTCAACAGAACACGGGCCCCACTTCAAGAGGACTCGATAGGTTGTTGTAATGATCTCAGATTTGGTGAGACTTGACAGACACGTGCCAGCCACATTCTTCAGGTGATGATATAAACCCATTGCCATCGAATGGATTCTAGTTCACAGCAACATGTATGACAGACTGGAACTGCCCATAGGGAGTCTACGGCTGTAAATATTCATGGGAGCAGATGGCCACATCTTTCCCCAGGAGCAGCTGGTGAGTTGGAACTGCTAATCTTTCACTTAGCAGCTGAAGGCTTACCCACTGCACCCCCTAGGCTCCTGAGGTAATGAGTTACTGTTGGTAAGTGCTGTCGAGTCACATCTGACTCAGCAACCTGTATACGGTTCACAAGAACTGGCTGGTGAGCTTGAACTGCTGACCTTGTGATGAACATTTGATTGTAGAGTACCACACCAGGACTCCAGATAATTAGTCATCTGCAAATTAATAATTCTACGGGAAAAAATATTGAATGATGTGGGAAGCATCAAAAGAAAACGGAAGGAATGCAGAGTCCCTGTTTTTTCATAAACTATGTTGTTGTTGTGAAGTGCCATCAAGTCAGTTTCAACTCACAGAGACCCTGTGTAGGGTTTCAGAGAAGTGGCTGGTGGGTATGAACTGCCTACCTTGCGGTTAGCAGCCCAGTGTTTTATCTTACGATGCCGAGTGTAGACACAACTGTTAATCTGCATGGAGAAGCCAACTATGTGCGTGGCTCCCTTGGTGGCAATATTTGATGTATTATGGTAGTTTGGAATGGATCTGCAATATCTCTGAGCTATGTCTCAATTCAAATTGGTTCTAATCTTTGTTCTTCCAGATACTAGCTGTAGGACTGTTTGCATTTTCTGAACTTAAATTTTGTCTATAAAATGAGCTGAGAATATCCATTTTGTAGGATTGCAGTGAGGAATAAGTAGGAGTATGAATTGTCTGCAGAGCTTGATTGGGTGTTGTACATAGTGAACATCCTCAGTTGTGAACCAAAGGTTGATGGTCCCCCCGGAGGTACCTCAGAAGAAAGGCCTAGTGAGCCCCCGAAAATCAACCACTGAAAAGACTGTGGAGCACAATTCCAAAACTCTAACACACACTGGGTCGCCGTGAGTCAGAATCTATCCAGTGGCAGCAAACTCAGCAAACATACTGCCTCCCAGTTTCCTACACCTCAGTAAATGGAACCACCATCTTCCCAGTTTAAGAAAAAAAAAAAATTTGAGTTATTTTTGAATGAGTTCTTTCTCTCACCCTCTCAAGCTAACACATCTATAAACCGTATTGGTTCTACTTCCTAAACCTACCCTGAGTCCACCTACTGCTTCCTGTGGTCACTGTTGCAGCCCTAGTTCATCAATCTGGTCTATGCTGTGTCTACAAGTTCCTAACTTGTCTCTTTGCTTTTCTGGGCTATTTTCCACAGTCAAGCTGATGTTTAAACAGAAACCAGACAATGTTACTACTTCCTGCTTCATATCCTCTAGAAAGAGGCTTTCTGTCCTACTATTAATGAACTCTTAACTCCTTGGCTCCTGAAACCTCGGTTCCTTCTCCTTTTCCCACTAACTCACCAAACCCACTGCTGCCTCTGGGTCTTCTTGTTGGGTGTCAGGAGTTAATTTTACAGCTCAGAGCAACCCCAGGTGACAGAAAACTGTCATCTTTATATCAAAGGGCTTGCTGCTAACTGAAAGGTCAACAGCGCCAACCCACTAGTGGTTCCTGGGAGATAATGCCATCTGCTCTCCATAAAGATCCCAGTCTCTGAAATCTACTCCATCCTATAGGGTTGCTCAGAATTAAAATAGATTTAACAGGATTTTTTTTTCTGTTTGAGTTTTAACCTTTTATGCAGAGCTGCTGGTGGAACCAGCCACCTGTCAGCAGCAGAGGATTTAGCCTTTGCACCAACAGAAACTCATCAGCCTGTGTATTTCATAGAACCAGCCACTCGGGGGTTTTGTTTTGTCTAAGCGTAGTGGTTAGGAATTGGGCTGTGAACCGCAAGGTCAGCAGTTCAAACTACCAGCTGCTCCATGGGAGAAAGATGAGACTTTCTGCTCCCGTAAAGATTTACAGCCTCGGAAACCCTATTCAGCATTGCTAGGGGTCGGAACCGACTCCACGGCACGTAACAAATCTCCTAAATAATGTGGCGCTCTGGGATAAAGCACTGGACTGCAAGGTCGGCGGTTCAAACCCACTGTCCGCTCCTTGGAAACCCTATACAGGGTCGCTGTTGAGTTGGAATCCACTGGACAACACTTAACAACAACAACAAATAGTTCTCAAGTTTACGCTTCTCTGCAGCTGTTTCGGAGTCCAGATGTGGCGCTGTGGGTGAATGCGCCGGACTGCAAAGTAGCTTTGAACTGCAGGGTCGGCGGTTCAAGCTCACTAGCTGCTCTTTGGAAACCCTATACAGGGTCACTATGGGTCGAAACCGACTTGACAGGATTTAACAACATCAACCAGCTGTTTGGGCACCTTGTGCTACCTCCGCAGTTTTCGCCTATAATGCGTTTCCTGACCCCTTTGCCATCGGCTGTCACTTTCCAGGCACCTGCTCATCCAGCCCGCAGCTCTTACACCCCCGCTTCAGGAGGAGGCCCAGGAGGGCCCCAGCCAGCGTCTGGTGTGCTCCTGCCCTCCTGGGCTTCGCTCTAGGCCCCGCTTTCCGCTTCCAGGGCACTTCTTCCCGCCCCCCCATCCGCCTTCCTCTACGGGTCTCAGGTGAGCGCCTCCTCTTCCTGGAAGCCCCCATCGGCGACCTCTACGCCACCCAGGACTGCGCCTTCAACGCTCCCCTTTGAATGCCGGTGCTTTTAGTGCTTTCATTAACACAGTTTCGGGGGGAGCAGGTGGCTGCTGAGCTGCAGTTTGCGGAAGGAAGGCGCGGAAAGCTTTCCCGCCCCTCTCCTCCCCGCCCCCCTGGGGCCCTGTCGCTGTGATGACGCACTCAGCCTGCGTCGCGGGGCCCGCCTTCTTCCCAGGGCGCCTGCGTGAACGTGACGCGCTTGCGCAGAGCAGCAGGAGCCCGCTGACATTCTCTGTCGGCGGCGGCAGAGGCAGTGTCCCAGAGCGGCGGGGCATGGGCGTCCCCCGGGTCTGACCGAGCCCCCGCCATGGCCCAGGAGAAGATGGAGCTAGACCTGGAGCTGCCCCCGGGTGCGGGCGGGAGCCCGGCGGAGGGCAGCAGCGGGGGCCTGCGCCGGTCCAACAGCGCGCCCCTGATCCACGGCCTGAGTGACTCGTCGCCCGTGTTCCAGGCCGAGACGCCGAGCGCCCGGCGCAACAGCACGACGTTCCCGAGCCGCCACGGGCTGCTGCTGCCTGCGTCGCCGGTGCGCATGCACAGCAGCCGCCTGCACCAGATCAAGCAGGAGGAGGGCATGGACCTCATGAACCGCGAGACGGTGCACGAGCGCGAGGTGCAGACCGCAATGCAGATCAGCCACTCGTGGGAGGAGAGCTTCAGCCTGAGCGACAACGACAGCGCCGAGAAGTCGGCCTCCCCGAAGCGCGTCGACTTCGTCCCGGTGTCCCCGGCGCCGTCGCCCACGCGGGGCATCGGCAAGCAGTGCTTCTCGCCGTCCTTGCAAAGTTTTGTGAGTAGCAACGGACTGCCCCCCAGCCCCATCCCCAGCCCGACCACCCGCTTCACGACCCGGAGGAGCCAGAGCCCCATCAACTGCATCAGGCCGAGTGTCCTGGGACCGTTGAAAAGAAAATGTGAAATGGAAACTGACTATCAGCCAAAGAGATTCTTCCAGGGCATCACCAACATGCTGTCGTCGGACGTGGCGCAGCTGGCGGACCCCAGCGGGTGCGCGGCTTCCGATGCCCTGGATGGCACCAGCAGCAGCGCGGGCTCCTCCGGGAATTCACCTGCCAAAGCCAGCACGACCACCGACTCCCCGGTGTCGCCCGCCCAAGCCACCTCGCCCTTCATCCCCGTAGATGAACTGTCGTCCAAATGACTTTGCTTTCGGCAGTGGGGAGCGGGGTCGGGTGGGGGAAAGAAACAAGTCACGTTGGAGCAAAGCACTGAACTTAGTGGACTGATCTAAGGCTGTTTCCTAAAGGACCCTTTTCCTCTTTGGGGGGATTTCCTGAAATGTTGCCCTTCTCAGAACGTCTCTGTGCAGTCCCCGCGGACACCCTGAATTCCATGTAGTCATCTTTTCAGACGTTGCCCCAATAAGGTGTGAGAAGCACCCGTCTGTACGCTGCTAATGTCTAAATACATATGTTATCCCTTGATTTTTTTAAAAAAGAATTGAGAGCTCTATTTATTTATTGGATTATTAAGTTCTGATGAAAATATAAGTGTTGAATGAATCAGCATAGTAAACTGATGTTTTCCAAATCCAATTTTCATGCCCACCCGAATTTTTAATGTGATTTTCAGTGACTGGTAATTCCCACTTGATGAAGAAGAGTAACTTAACCTCTTTTTTTAAAAAAATATAATGCTTAGAACCTATAAATCCAGGGGGTATGGGTTTGGTCCTGGAGTCCTTGGGAAATTTAATGTTCTGGGTACCGAAGTGGACAGGAGCAAGGTGATAGAAGAACAAAGTATACAAGTTGGCAACACATCTTTGAAAGTGAAATACAGAGAAGTTAAATGTGTTTAAGAAAAAAAATTTTTTGATTAAATTTTCATTAACACAAATCACTACAGTACAAGAAAAAAAAAAAGACATTTTCTGTGATTTACTGGGAAGTGTGTTCTCTTGGGTATAATCCTAGGTGAGTCATCAGCTCCCCCGTGATATGAGACAGTGCTTTTTGAACCTCTGCAAACTTCAAAGTCTTTCAAGTGTAGAGAACGTGTGTGGCAAGTCCCGCTACACCCAGGCGAACTGCGCTCCCTGAACCATTGGTAGCCCTTCAGCGTCCACCTGGGCCCCTGACCTGAAATCCACACCCAGATGGAGCCAGAGCAACTTGGGGCTGATTTTCTGCTCTGCCCATCTGTTACTGTCCTCGTTTTCCCATGCTCAGGAAGGAAGCAGCTGTTACCATGCCAACAGTTCCTTCCTCTCCACCTCCCACCCAAACTAGGGCACCATTGGTCAGACACGGGTCTGGTGTGTCCTGGGTTTCTGGCGGAGGAATGGTGTCAGGAACTTGCTGTCCAGTCATCTAGGTAAATGGTTACTGAATTGAGGTTTTGTTACAGGTAGAATTTGGGGGGCGCCCTCTTCTTTGCCTTTGACAGTGAGAACAGACTATGGAGAGATTTAGTAGGGTAACAGATGCTTTGTGTTACAGATTAACTTGATGTTTAGCTATTATGGCAGATGAAAGGGGAAGTGGGGTGGAGGGACAAAAGGCTGTAAGAGGCCAAGACAGGAACTACCAACTTACTTGTTTAGATCATTGCCTTCAGAAACTGTAATAATAATACGGATTGTTACCACTGGGAGAATAAAAGGAACTGGTCACCTCCTGAGAGTTGCCTCAAGAACTCTGAACTGCGGCTAAGGTTTCACAGTCTCTCCCAGACCCTGTTCCTCTGGTCCAGTCCGCCACCCTGACCTGCTGCCCGAGGCTCATCCACCTCAGCATCTTCAGAATTGGTCATCTCCCAAATGAGCTTCCTTTTGTCTCTCCTGGGAGTGCCCTCACTAACTCCCTTTTCCTCAACTGGACACACCAGAGCCACATCTTGGGCGTCTCTCTTTCCCCCGTTGACCACATCGGTCCCCTTGGCACTCCTTCTAGATGGGCCCCACACCATTCTCTCTGGCACCTGGCTTGGTTTCTGTTCCTGCCATTGGTGCTACTCGGGTCTACCAGCTCTCCTCCCTTTTGGTCCATATTCCCACTGCCTCTTGGGTAAACTAAGAGAAGGGCCAGACTGCATTCTGTCTGCTTCCCGATCTCCTGGAGTTCAGGGTTGACTTCTTGGAGGTGGTATCTAGGGCCCTTCAGGGCCTGAGCTTCCTCTCATGTGGTTTTAAGACCCATCCTTCACCTTAATCTGTACACACCAGCCTGCTGGGTCTGCTATAACTGTCATCGTACTTTAATGTGACTAAGCTCTTGTTTCTGCCCTCGAAAAGGCCATTCCTGTCCTCTTCCACCAGACACATACACTGTCACTTAAGGGATGTCACCGTGAAGGTCATGTGGTGTCCCTGCTGATTGTAAAATATGCAGACAGGGTAGAGGGCTCTAGAGGATCACGAAAAGATACTTTTTACCCTGGGAAGTGCATCTTCCCTTCTCAGGGTAATCTCTGTTCATCTGCTGGACGAGGAAAACAGCCTCACATGACTATTTACAGGCACGCCGGTGGCACACTGGTGAAGCGCTCGGCTGCTAATGCAAAAGTCGGTGGTTTGAACCCACCATTTGCTTCTAGAGAGAAAGATGTAACTTTTCCCTCCGTAAGGACGACAGCCTTGCCACCCTGTGGAGCAGTTCTCTGTCCTGTAGGGCGGCTGTGTGTTGGAATGGAGCCCACGGCTGTGGGGAGTATTTGATGAGGGAGATGAGCAGGGCTGTCCACTCCTGTGAAGATGACAGCCCCAGAAATCCTAGGGGGCAGCTCCACTCTGGCCTACAGGGTTGCTACTGGAAACCGGCATGGTATTTCTTCTACCTTCCCTCACAGCTAATCCATCACTAAGTCTTCTGGATTTTATTTTCTGAAATCTGCCTCCTGCCTTTGACCTCTGCCGTCACCCCAGCCCAGGCCACCAGCTTCTCCATCTATCAGAGACTTCTGAAGCGTCTCCTAATGTCCACTCTCCCACACCATCGCTGTCACACTCAGTCCTGCTACCTATGCAGTCGCCATACAGCAGCTGGGTTGTTAAGTGTCACTGAGCCGGTTCCAACCCATAACTATATAGCGTTTCCCAGGAGTGACTGCTAAGCTTGAGCCACTGACCTTGTGGTTCAAACCAACTTTGCAATCCAGCGCCTTAACCTGCAGCGCCACACCAGGACAGAGCCCCCTTAAGATGGCAGGGTAGAGCCTTATGGATGGCGCTTGGCTTCAAGTTTTTCTGTGGTTTTCTGTTGGTCTTGTGGTCCACAGCGCTGTTGTGATTGTCCCCTGGGAGGCCTGGCTCCTGCTTCTCTGTCCCCTTGTGCCCTGTGCTCACTCACTGGTTTGCTTTCTCCTTGAACAGGTTCTGTTATCTCTGATTTTAGGTCCTGTTCCTGAAGGCACTGCATAGCCTTCATTTTTCTGCATAGGCGGTTCACTTCTGAGTCAGATAAGCCTCTCAAAAAGTTGCTCTGGACCATTTGCAATATCTTTGTTTTGATTGTTCATAATGATAATCCTTGCTCTGAGATTCCTCTTCCCTGTGCTTTACCATATGCTCCCAATCAAGAACCACTAACCAAAACCATCCAAGACTTTTTTTTTTTTTATTGAATTTTGAAGACTAGAAGTAGTGTTGTTAAGTGCCGTGGAGTGGATTCCAACTCACAGTGACCCTGCTCAGGGTTTCTGAGGCTCTAAATCTTTATGGGGGCAGAATGCCTCATCTTTCTCCCGCGGAACCACTGGTAGTTTCAAACTGCCAACCTTGAGGTTAGCAGCCCAATTTGTAACCACTACGCTAAAGACCAGAAGTAGCGTAGTGGTTACGAATCGGGCTGCGAACCTTAAGGTCAGCGGTTCGAAACTACCAGCTGCACCGCGGGAGAAAGATGAGGCTTTCTACTCCCGTAAAGATTTACACCCTCGGAAACCCTGTACAGGGTCGCTATGGGTCGGAACCGACTCGATGGCACATAACAACAACAACCACCTCATGGAAGACATTTCTCGAAAGACATTGTTTCAGATATCAGTATTGTCAGAAGTCCAAAAGTAGAGATCAACATTTTGTGAAATTATAGTCCGTCATATATAATAAGTTCTGGTGGTATATTTTCCTTGATTATGCTGGTTAAAAGAAGTAACAGCAACAAAGGGAGGTGCCGGCTGCCGATCCTTTAAGCTACCTTGAAAAGTTGATGACCATCAGTTACATGGATCAGGTGTCCGGCAGCCAGTGCCCATCCTGAGTCCAGCTGTTTGCGCATCGACTGAAAGAACCTGCTCTGGAGACATTTGACAGTGATGTTGCGGAGGGTCAAGTTTTATGAAGCAAAGAAAACCAGGAATCATTTTTTCTTATAAACATCTTTCTAGATTATTTAAAGGTCGGAAGAACCAAGAAAAAATTTGCATTGGCAGAAGGATAAACCAAAGACGGCCTGACCCGCATGTACAGAGGAGGGTCAGAGAGAAGAAAGAGCTGGCTTTGGGAAGGGGTCTATAGGAGCATCTTGTCCCTTCTGAAGCCATCTAGGGAAAGACATCAGTAAATGTGGAGCTGATTTCCTGCTCTAAGGCTGTGGGGTGTGAAGGTATAAAGACAAAGGGAAGAATTGGTATCTGATGGCTTCTGTTTCAAGGCGCTTTGGGGACCCAGTGGGTTAAGCATTAGGCTGCTTTCACCTGAATGAAGGTCAGTGGGGTTAAAACCAGTTGCACCTTGGGAGAAAGATGAGGCTTTCTGCGCCTATAAAGATTCACAGTCTCCAAAAGTCTATGGGGCTGTGCTCCTCTGTCCTGTGGGACTGTGCTCCTCTGTCCTGTGGGGCCACTATGAGTTGGACTAGACTAGACAGCGCTGGGCTAGGCTGGACTGGGTTTAGAAGGCATACTGAGCTGCATCAGATGCCAGATTTCAGCCAGGTGGCAGGAGCAGAGATGTTGGTATGCCTGGGTCCCAGGAATTTTCTAAGTAGGTATGAGGTAAATCCAGTGTGTGGAGTTGGGATGAATGGCAGGGCATTGAGGATGGACAGAGAAGCCAGTGGGCAGCAGTGGTCACAGACGCAGGTGCTACCGTACTGTAACACAGCATACAGTCTGGTCTCAGTGCCGGGCTCTGGCAGCCTTGCCCACGCTGCTCCTGGCTGATGGTCAGTTAGAGGCCCACTCATCCTGGCCAGACTT